ATACGTTAGCTTTCAACGCTAGCTGCGCAAGCACTAGAAAGGAACAACGCCAGACACAGCCCATAGCCTGGTGACAGGTCATGAAGATCGTGGGCGACGCTCGCGAGGAGCGTGGGATGGGTTTGGGGCTCCGGCATCCGGTCCGGCGTTCAGGAATATGAAAAGCGAACTTGAGTCTATGTCTATCTATGTCTCACATGAAGCATGTGCAGAAGAAGGTGCGCAGGAGTAAGGACTTTTTGTGTTCGAGCTTCCTAAGATAAAGCAGTTTGACGCAACTTAGGTTGTGCTTTCGAAGGCCTGGTACCCCCCTTACGTCCACATCATCTCTGCAATGCTTGTGCTTGTAGAGTGACACTGAAGACAGACACCCCCGAGAATCTAGACCTCAAGTGCAAGCCGTGCAAGGCAACACAGGCAAAACGGCAGGAACCGAAATCTTCGAAGGCCCCAATATCATCCAATTGTCACGATCATCAACCGCAAGAGTTACTTTGGAGATTACGTAGTCCGGAACCGAAAGACGATCATGCAATGTAAAAAGTTTATTGGTCGATTGATGGTGATCCCCATCGCGGCGGCCGTCATCCTGTGCTTCTGGTGGTTTCCAGTCCTTCAGCTACTACTCCGCAAGCAACTAAGTGACTAGGCGCGCCGGTTTGCTTGTGACTTTGTCTTGAAGGTGATGGCAAGTCTTGCCCTAAAATGTTCGCGTCCAGCATACAGATGCCATACCTCGCTTCTTTGAATTTGTAGCAGGTGCAGTATGCAGAGTTGATTCGGATCATGCAGTTCCAAACCAAGGTCGTCCCTTCCCACAGACCTTGCTGTCTCCCATGCAGCGACATCAAGCATCATAAAGGGCGTCATCTCTATGGTCATGCACGAAGGCATGGATGGAAATCCAATGCGTGACGCTCTTACAGATGCTACGCGCCTGCAAGATGGAGAACATGTAACATATTGTGGGGCAAGTCGGAGGTTGGTCCGTCTGCAGGATCCTCGCGACATTGCAGATGCGCCCTGTGCCAGCGACCACCGCTACATGTGTGCAATCAGAAGAATTGCGAACATCTCCAGGTGCACCAGCTTCCAACTGCACGGCCCCGGATGCACCCGGCAAACCTCTTATTCTTTTCGAAGATTTGGTCAGGCGACCTCGGGCGGTGTTGCCTTTCACGAAACTGAAGGGATGACACCTTCGGAAGAGCAGGAAGCCCTTGGCAAAAGTTTGCAAGCTGCAGCAAAGGTATCGAATGGCGAGATATGTCGAACGAACGTTGCTCACCCAGACTGGGTCGCTACTTACCTCAGCTGTGTGATGTCAGAAGAGCGTGGACTTGGCCTTTCTGAGCGATGGGTCAGTTCTTGCAATACAAGTTGGGTACCTCCTCCTTGTTCAGGCATCATGCTGGAGAAACACTAGGAAACTCGCATGGCGACGTGTGCCGACAACCAGGGCGTGTGTCGTGCCCAATGATGCGTCGGCAGATTGACGGCGGGCCTTTCTGCCTGCTGAACAAACGTGGCGCATGTCGCGTAGAAGAAGCACAACGTCTCTGGCAGTCGAGCTTTGTTCCAAATCCCAATACTGCGTGTGTCATCCACACCTTCCATGAGCCGGCCTTCACAGACTATCGAGAGAAGCTGACGAAACTTACCGTTTCAGCGTGGGAAGCATAGCTGCACTTAAGTGTTTCGATTTCTAGTCATCCCTTAAGGCTGCCGGGGGCTACTTATTCGAGAGTTGCCATGTATTCAAACAAACGAGCGACTAAACATACTTCCAGATGAGCTGTATGTATGTATGTATGTATGTATGTATGTATGTATGTATATGTATGTATATATGTATGTATGTATGTATGTATGTATGTATGTATGTAGGTTTTCGGATCGAGCTGCCTTTTGGTAGTATAGCTGGAACCCCAGTTGCAAGAGCAACGGCCAAGCCACGCGCGTCGCCTACGTGGCATAGAGCTCTGCGCAGAAAGAGGCGCAGAGCTAGAGTGCGTGTTCGCAGCGCGCGCAAATTGGGGCATAGCACATTTGCCAAAGACTTGCGGCTCCTGAAGTCGCGCCACAGCTGGCCTGGACCAAAGGGAGACGACACTCCTATGGGAAGCAGCAGGAAAAAATGGCAACAGCAGCAGGAATGGTCGCAAGAATGGCTGCAAGCAGATGGCTGGCAGCAACAATTTTGGCATGGTGCCTGGTCGGCATCGCCCAAAGCGAGAGCCAAAGCAGCTGCAGTCAGATACGACAGTGTGCAGATCCCACAGGCCAAGTCGGGACAGCCAGCGGAAGCGGAACCGAGCCCCATTGGGAATGGAGACCTGCGCAGAGAAGTTCAGAGTACACACGTTTTTCAGGACATGGCATGACGAAGCCCTGTTCGGCTGTGAAGGAAAGGTTTGCATGGTAGCGGAGCCTTCCACCAAATCCCATTCCGTGAGGGTCTGGGTGACCGGTGGGGGCCCCAGGGCAGGACCCAACCCCTATGGGATTAGGTTCCTCCGAGCAAATGTTTTTCTGGTTGGCGGCTGCAATTCGATTTGCCCGCCATGCCCCTTTGGTGGCTGCAATTTACTCTGCCCACCCAGCGGAGCTTTCGGTGTAAGACCTCAGCGCGAGGCATCCCCGGACAGTCCCCTGGAAAGGGCAGTTTGTCTTTTTGGGCTTTTGGCAGCAGTTCAGTGCCTGAGTCCGTGGTGCAGCGGGCCTTAGAGCGGCCCTGCATGGAAGGTTGTTTGGTTGGCAGGCTTTATCTTGTTGGCCTTTGAGGAGTGCAATTTTCAGCTTGGTGGGGTTTGGGCAAAAGATTACAATGGACAGCCCGACAATGCATGCAGCACAGGCCGCGCAAGCAGCAAGTGGGAGCCAATCTGTGAATGTTCCGCAGGCGGGGCAGGCGTCTCCAGATGCTATGCCTCGGGAAGTGCAGCAGCAGGTGGATGCGCTGGCGCGGCAGCGCTTGGAGCAAGCTTTCGGCTCTGTGTTCGGCAAGGTGTTGCTGGCCACGGAGCGTGCCGCGAATACGGCCGAGGCTCAGGCTGCTGTTGTGAAGCAGGACCAGCAGGACGGGCTGACAAAAATGATGCAGGTGGACCCTGGAAGCCACAGACCAGGGAGGATGAACTCAAGACGTGGCGCGAGTGGCAATTTCAGTTCCTGACTTGGCTCTCGGCACATGACGCAAAGTTTTCGGAGGACTTGGCTGGCATCGACCCCGAAATTGCGGAGGACCATGCCTTGATGGACGAGGCCAAGGTCCAGAGGTCGCAGATGCTTTTTGGCATTCTTGTTTCGCTTTTGCGGGGCCGACCTTTGCTGCTGGTCAAGGGCCTTGAGAAGGAACGTGCTGGCTTTGAGGCAATGCGCCTGTTGAGGCGCGAGATGGAGCCGAAAGAGAGACCGAGGGCCCTGGCCATCATGAGACAGCTTGCTGGCTGGACCTTCTACGGCAACCTCCACGAGCAGCTCATGCAGTTCGAGGAGGCAGTCTCAAGCTATGAGGTGGCGAGCTCCACGACTCCACGGTGTACCCAGAGGACCTTGTGATTGCCACCGTTGTTGGGGGCTTGCGCGAGCCCTTGCGCAACCAAGTTCATGGGAATGACAGCCCGCGCCACCTACAGCGAGATCAGAGGGTGGATCCTCCAATATGAGGCGGTGAACACGCCATGGAGCACCAGCCTGAGCGTTCGAGGCACCCCGAAAGAGCATGCAAGCGGTGGCCCTCAGCCAATGGACGTGGACCAAGTCTGGACCAAAGGCAAGGGCAAAGACGGCAAGGGCGAGAAGGGCGACAAGGGCAAAGGCAAGGGCGGCACAGGCAAGGACGGCAAGGGCAAGAAGAGGGATAAAAGACAAAGTCAGCGGAAGGAGCCGTGGCTGGACCAATGGAACCAGCAAGGGGGACGAGGACAGTGGAAGCAGCAAGGCCAGAACCAGTGGAACCAGCAAGGTAGACAAGGACAATGGAAGCAGCAACGCGGAGCTGGGAAAGGAAAAGGGAAGTGCCACACCTGCGGCCAGAGTGGGACGCTGGAAGTGGGAATGCCCTTTCAATGGCAAGGGTAACGGGTAAAGGAGTCAACCAAGTTGATGGCTCATCCTCGGCGGCTTCTACGGTCACGTCTTCTACAAGCGCCTCCACGGCACCCTCTTCGGCAACTGCATACCAGGAGGCCAATGGATATGGAGTTAGTCGTGTGGAGGTGCTTTTGGGAACGCCGCCCCGGCTGTGAGGTCACACAGCTCTTTGACGTAAGCGAGCTGGATGATGATGAGGGCAGCCCTTTCTCATTCGAGCCGGCGGACATCATGATGATCAAGGCCCTTCCCCGACCTATGTCCGAAAGGCAGCGAGCTGCGGAGGTAGTGTCCGATGACGACTGGATGTTCCAAGCTGAGCCAGAGGTGTTCCAGCTTGACGCAACAGATGGCCTGCGCATGGAGCCGATCGTGAACAGCAGAGCTGTGAGGGCCCTGACAGCTCAGCAAGTCGGGGTCATCGTTGACTCGGGCGCAGATATATCTATGGCCCCCCGGCGTTTCTCGTGCTGTGGGACCCCCTGTGCCCCTTTGCGGTGATTATGCACGATGGTCAGGGGAAGCAGATCAAGGAGCTAGGCGCATGGATCCTGGACATCGAGGTCGAGGGCCTTGGCAGCGAGAAGGCAATGATTCGGGAAAAGTTCGCAGCAGCCAACGTGGGTCGCTCATCCTGAGTTTGGGGCGGCTTCTTCGATGGGGCTGGCAGCTGGGGCAGCGCAGCCCAGCACGTCCAGGTGAATGCGGTGAACACCTTTGATGATGTTGGCCCGCTTCCTCCTAGGCTGAAGATCTGATGGCAAAGCCTGGGTGGCCTTTCCTCGGAAGTGGCTTGCCTTTTCTGGTTGTCCGTCGAACCGAGGAGCTGCGCGTGGAGCAAAACGTGTGGTCGGCCAATGATTGGCCATGGGCAGCCGTGTTCGCTAGAGTTGAGCCTGCCGCAA